TGACAAATGGTATTCAAGGACACCAAGAACAGTGCTGATTGCACAAAATAATTGCCTGATTTTCGACCAAATACAGACTGACCTTTTTTGTCCCCGTCGCCAATTGTTATGGTTGTGGCCGAGTGGATGCCTAATTGATGTGTGACTTGATGAGACCGCCAATTAGGGAGAGCGAATTCTCGATTGGAACAGTGACACGAAACCCGTACGAGCAGACTAGATTGCTAACCAGTCCTGCGATCTGCCTAGCCCAGCCCGTTAAGTCCAAAACACCAATAACAGCCTCAGTGGTATGAATCATTATTTACAAACATACTGGGTTTTTATACAAACCAAAGTAATTAATAATTGAGTATAACTCAAGAATCGTATGATAATAAATCAAAGATCAAAATAAAGCTCATGATAAGAGAAACACGAATATGAATAGTTTAGTTACGTAACAATTGTACAATAGGAAATACGCATAATACATTGGTCGATAAATAGTCCTTGGAGTTACCATTCATAATTCACCAGGGGATATAACACTGATCATTTCTTCTTTATAAACAAGCTGTCAGTAATCATTATGGTTTATTCAATGTGTCCCGACTAATATGAAACCTAGAACAAAGGTTTATTGTTTACTTATTCTAATAACATAACTTCAAAGTACAGAGGGTGTGATTTACTCAGACCAATGGTTAAAACTGTAATTTAATCTATAGAATTTGATCAGCGCTAAGGACTAAGGTGACATGATAATAGTCATTATTCTGTAATTTATCAGTGCAAATGAAGTAATATCTCGGTAAATTTTGATTGCGGCTAGCAACGGAATACTGGAAAAGTATATCATGATACTTTGTAACCGTCAGTTGTACATAAGTATATATTGTTCGTGTTTACAGTAGGACTCAAACCTAACAACGCTTGTTTCAAACTCCAACGCGTTATTCGCTAAACTGCTAGACTTAAACAACCATTAAAAATGGAGAACTATGTTAATTATAAACTGATAGTGTTTACTTCACTCATGCACACTGAACCAAACAGTTTAGGATCGAATATAAAATGTATTTTTCATTTCACGTTTTCGTACTTTAAATCAACCTAGTTAGAAACGGGAATTATGATTAAAAGTGGTTAACTTGAAATAATAAAAATATGACTAAGAAAAGAAATAAGAAGAATGGAACTGACAGGATTGATCGAAATCAATTTCATTATATATTAAGCTTTTCATAGCAAGAACTGTTAATGTAACATTTTCCACCTCAATTCTGTTGTTACATGAGAACGCTATGTAATTGAAACTTATTCCCAGTGGTTATTATATATATACTGCTGTGAAGTCTGTCTGTTCAATTGTCCTTGCTCAATATATAAAAGTTGTTTTACGTGGTTACTGCTTCTTTCTCATAATTTTCATTCAGTTGTCATTGTCGCCATTATGTAATAAGAATTCTATTTATCTAGTTAATCTAGATAAAATTATGTTTTTTATTCAGTACTCACCAAGTATAAAATGTAAAACAAGCATTAATGAAGATAATCGTTCAATTTCATGGATTTACACCATTAGATGCTGGCTCTGTGGTCTGGAGGTTAAACGTTTGCGTGCGAGACCAAAGGTTCTTGGTTCGAGTCCCACGTGCGGGACCGTGAATGCACACTGCTGGGGAGTTCCATACTAGGACGAGACATCCGCTCAATGCTTTCAGGTTTTCAGTTGCGGTCTAACATTCATCGATTCATGATCTCAATCAAAATCTTAGCAATCTCCACAATTCCATACTGATAATGATGAATTCAAGATTTTAAGAGAAGATAAAAACCATTTATTTTCAACTATATTATGTGGATATTACTAGCCATAGATTATGATCAAACTATGAACCTCAACCATCATGTCTACATCTGTATACAAATTTCAGAATAACCACCAAAGAACTATACTACTAACTATTAGTCAGCACAACATATCACGGTAGAGCATGATTGGTTAATCAGAGTAGCGCATTCAAAACATTACTGCGTTGATACTCTAGGTTCATAAAAGGCGAAATTTGTTGATTTCTTAAAAAGGCTTAACTATGTCATCTTCATGTTCAAAGTTGATGAGAAACAGTAAAAGTTATCTTAAGGAGTATATTCTAAGAAATACTTTTAGAAGATACTAATTATCTCAGGTTGTCTAAACTATATTTCACTGTTAACTTAACTCTACCAGGGATGTTCACATGTTCAGTAAATTAATTTACCTACTTGGCCCAATCCAATATAAAATAATTCTAAAACGCTTGTTTGTTGACTGAGTTAAATCTCTCCTTTAACTCAAATGATACTACCTAAATTAGATAACAGAGAGTTTGTTATACAAAACCTACTGAAGATTTACTTTTTATGTTGAGTTATTTTTTTGTAAGCTTCACTTAAGCGTTAAATAATGATAGAAGCTAGAAAATATATTTATTATTCAAAATAGTTCTTTGATTATTACAAGAAACTCTCTGTCATTTCTTATCAACTCTGCTAATGGGAAGTTCAAAACAGTCTAAAGGAGATAAGTCTGTTTCCTAGACTTAGTTTGATATCTCATTCAGTCTTTCTAAAATAACAAAACCATAATTCCTTAAGTTATCTGAATCAATCCATCGAGGTCTGTCCCTGTTTTATCCTTCAAGTTATCCATACTTTTCTTTATCTAACAAATACTTGGAAGATCAAATATTAATCTATCATTTAACTGACTGGTGACTACAAGGACTTTTTAGACTATATGAAGGAGAGATAGGTTGTTTCTCATAATCTTCCCTTCATCGTTTCAGTCGTTAGCTTAAGGATGAATTACTTTTCTGCTTTCCCCATGAAAGGTACAGTAACATTTAACTTTAACCCTGGTTTGATCAGGTAGTCTAAACAGTTATCTAGTTTTATCTATTACTGTTTTAATCTATTCAACTTTTATTCAATCACTATCCTGTGTAGATTTTTACGGTCAACATCTATTCATTTACTAAAAGCTCCCGAAAGTGACTAAAATTTTCTATCATTACTCAGTAGCTAAGTGGATAACATGATGGCGTTTGAAGCGAACAGTACTGAGTTCGAATCCCAGAGTGAACAACAACTCTAGAATGCAGGTCCATTCAGCTGACTCGTCCCAAGTAAGATGAAACGCGCGTCCTGGATTCCATTACTAGCCATTATCCATCTTTACCTATAATTATTAAAATTTGACGAATAACTCCATGTTATATACGTATAATATTCTCATACAGTACATTATTCTTTCGCGAACATTGCACATTTTATTGATCACTACTTTTTTTTTTAGAAAAAAAAACGTCATTCCATAGAATGTTTGCTGTTGTAAAATTACTTTTTTTTAAAGTAACTCAATCAATATGTTTTTTAATAAGTCACGTTTATTAGTCACAACTCAATTGAGTTTTCTTTTATCATAAAACTATAAAAAATTATGATAAAGTTTTCATATCAATCAAACTGTTATCATTTATCATGTTAATAGTTTGTAATGGTATGTTTCGAGAAAAATTATCATTCCATTTTTTTAAAACAAGTAAATAGTACTAACTATAAGTAAATTAATAATAAATTGTACATTTATTGATCAATTACTCAGTATTATCAATCGAAACATTTCCCTTCATTTTAAAACTAAAACTTGATTTTTGGGGATGGGGATAAGCTCCACCTAGCAACTAAACAAAATGAAGTGAAACTTATTATTTATACAATCATATTTCATGTAGTGTTTTATTCCCTGTCGTTTATGCTAGCTTATATGAAAAATGTAAAGTTTTTTACGACAAAAATACCACCCCATAATGCTATAAAAACTTATCAAATGTGGTACACTTAGTCATAATGAAAGAAAAATTACAATATAGCAAAAGTGACACAAGTAAATAGTACTAACTACAACTAAACTAATAATAAATTATGCATTTATTGATCCTTTATTCAGTATTGTCATATTCTCAGTCGAAACATTTCCCTTCACTTTAAAACTAAAACTTGATTTTTGGGGGGTGGGAATAAACTCCACTATTATTAGTAATTTTGACTTTGCACCTAGCAACTAAACAAAATGAAGTGGGACTTATTATTTATACAATCATATTTCATGATGCAAGTGATGTTTTATTCTCTGCCGTTTGTGCTAGCTTATATAAAAAAAATGTAAAGTTTTTTACGACAAAAATACCACCCCATCATGATATGCAACTTGTCAAGTGTGGTACACTTAGTCATAATGAAAGAAAAATTTCAATATAGCAAAAGTCACAGTTTTAATTAATTCTATAATAATAATTATGATTCCAAAATATCTATAATTCGGTCACTAAATAAACAAAAAACTAACCATGATTACTGACTACTACACACTCAAATGATCTGAGAACGCAGAGTGTATCCCAAACTGATTTGTATTTATGAAGATGAAATATTTCAGATGAATATAACACTCTAATTAAACTGTTAATCTAGTTACCATTAGTAAAAACAAAAAATGTCACTAAAGATGAAATTTTGAAATATTCAATTTATAGAGTTGAGATCATAAGTCAATTGAAACTAGACCACCATGGAAAACCTGGAAGCACTAGAAGGCTCTTTCGTACTGTTATGGGACTCCTCAGCAGCGCACATACATGATCCCACCTCGAGAGATTCGAACCTAGGACCTATCAGTCTCGCTCCATAGCACTTAACCTCTAGACTACTGAGCCGTAGGTGGTTGCTCACTGCTGAGGAGTCCAACAATAGGACGAAAAGGCCGTCCAGCTTATCAAGGTTTTCCATGGTGATCCAGCGTCAATTGACTCATGATCTCAACTCTATAAAATTACTAAAATCTCCACCAAACCCATTCTGATATTCAATTTAGTTGATAAGATCTTACATATACTTAATTTTTCCTTTGTTGTATATTGATTAAAATAACAATAATTTAAATTATAAAAAAAATTTTTTTTAATTTTACTTACTCTATACTACTAGAAGGTGAACTTAAATCACCAATTGTAGTTAATGTTAATGTAGCCCAATAAAATGATTTTAAATATCTTCTAGACATAGTAACTTGTTCTGCATCATTATATGGTTGATAACCCCATGGATTTTTAAATCCTTCATATTTTGATATTAAATAATAAAATGCAGCAAACCAATGACAACCTAAAAATAATATATGAATTAAATTTAATACTCTCCATATATTAGGAAATATAGTTCTATTTTCAACACGTAATTTCCATTCATAATATCTATACCATTTAAAAAATCTTGGAAAACGTAACATTGGTTGTATACCAATTTTAAATTGTAATAAATCCAAGGGGAGTAATGATGTAATATCTAAGAGGAATTTATAGGATTTCATATAACGTATTAATAGTTTTTGATGTTCTTTAACTTTTAATCCACATTTTAAATAACTTGTATTACATTGTATAAATATATCAATTAAATAGATTATATCTGTTAAAATATCAAATGATAACCATATTGTTTGATATTTTAATTGTAATTCATCAAATGCTTGACGTGCTATTGGTGTCCATAAATTATATAATAATGCCATAGATACTATTGTTAACCATATTAAATAACCAGTACTATTTGGATAAAATATAATTAATAATTGAGATTTTTTATTTTTTAAATTTTTTAAATTTTTTTCTAATTCATTATTTAATTCAAATGATTTATTACTTTTATTTGTTTCATTACTTAATTTTCTTTTATCAGAATAGTCTTTATTATTATTATTATTATTTGATAAAGTTGGTGTATCTAAGTATAACATTTCATTTTGTGTGATGGAATTTATTGGATTTTCTAAAAGTAATTCTTTTTCTGGAATAATTGTTGGTGCTAAGCTTTCCGCATTATTATTATTATTATTATTATTATTATTAGTAGTAGTAGTAGTAGTAGTAGTATTAGTATTAGTAGTATTGTTAGTTATTTGTTCATTTAAATCAACTTTATGATATAATGATTTTCTTTCATTATTAATATGATTATCATGATCAAGATTATTATTATTATTATTATCGATTTCTGGTATACAGCTATAATTATCTAATTTTTGTTGTGAATATAATTGATCAATAAATGAATGATCATAATTTGTATCTATAAAATAATCATCATTATTATATGTTCCACGTCTTTGTGTTGAAAAACGATACATAAATGAATCTCTTCTAGATAATTCATTATTATTATGATTATGATTATGTAATTTACGTTTAAGTTTTACATGATCCATTGAACTTAGAACAACTTTCATTGTACATTGTACTTTTTTCCAACGACGTGATGCATTATCATTTGATGATGATTTTTGTATATTATTTTGTGTATTATAATATAATTTATTTAATTTTGTCATAGATGATCTAGTTATTTTATCTAATTTAGATAATGACATACCATAATTAGAATGAATATTAAAATATTGTTTTGATGGTAATTTACATTGATCCATTTTATTGATTTTATATGAGGGGGATAATTTTTGATCATGATTGATATTATTACAATCCAATAAAATTGTTTCATTATCAGAAATTGATTTTTGTGATATGTTATCATGAGAATAATGAATATTTAATAATGAATTTGGTTTATTGATTGAATTTTCTTCAGTTGTCATTATTGATTATATTAATTAATGATTTTAATAAAAATATTTAAAAAAATTTTCTATATTTTTTTTAATTATTCAATTAATTAATTAATTGTTTTCAGTAAAAAAAAAATAAAAGGGATAAGTTTATTTTTCAGGTACATTTCATACATTTTGAAAGGTGATAAGTTTAATTTGTTACCATATCAATTTACTCATTTGTGATTGGTTAATTAATTCGTGAGATTTGATTGGTTAGTTTTTCCATGAATTGTAAACGAGACATGATATGACAATCATTATATATTAAATGAATAATTTCATAAAATATGTATTTAAGTCAAATGAATTAATTTTTAAAAAATGTGTAACTATTTGCCTTGAAAAATTTAAGAAAACATTCTTTCTAGTTGAAATTATCATAAAGTTCAGTGAAATCATGGATGGCCGTTTTGTCTTGTTACAAGACTCCTCAGTAATGGGCAACCACAGTTCTATATGTGAGAATTGAACCAGGGATTTGTGATTTCACTTCGAATGCTTAACATCTAAACCATTGATTGAGGATCTAATGGTTAAATGTTCGATAGCAAGACGGAAAATCGTAGATTTGATTTCCGTATGTGGAATCGTAGATGTGTACTACTGAGTCTCATACTAGGATGATGTGGCCCTCTAGTGCTTCAAATTTTTCAATAGCTGTCTTTATTTGATTGTAATCCGACTTGTGATTACAGCGAAATTCAACAACCTTAATAATCCTATACTGATCATATTGTATTCACCCTAAAAACATGCAGTGACGTCACCAACGTAAGATATGATTATATTTTATGTACAACTATAAGTTAAGGTTGTTTCATCTTAAATTCTTGTGCAACATATTTTATTCCCTGACATAAAGTTTCCGGTTTTCTGACTTAATATGTATGGTAACCATGTGTACTTATGAGTTTTAGTAAATTGTTTACAACCTACCGTAAATTTAATCACTTAAAACTTCAAGAAGCATCAATAAAATGGATCTAATGTGTTCCTCAGTTCCTTTGGCAGAACAAGAGAGGTGTAATATATCGAATTCATGAATCAAGTATATTATGCCGTGAAGAGAGATGTAATGGAAATAAAGCCGATCATGTTTATTTACTAATAAATGTAAAAGGTAGCTCATTACTGATTAGAAAACTTTTATAGATAGTTTTTTGTGTATTCACAAGTTAAATAGCTATGAAATGAGAATATGTCGGAAAACTGAGTATGTTGTACTGTAAATTACTAACATTAAACATGTGTCGACGAATGAAGTGATTATTAACATCATTGCTGCCATTCATGTCGAACCCAAATTTTACACAATATAATTTAAACAAAAATTTCTTAATGTATGTTGTATTTCATTTTTTGATTGATAATATCATTCATGAATCCGCCTCGCAAGATTCGAATCCAGAACCTATCAGTTTTGCTCACGAGCGCTTAACCACTAGCAAAATATCAATAAGTAGAAAATTAAATTTTTGATGTCACTCAAATTAGTATAAGCCAATGTTCAAATACTGCCATGTCGAATCTCGATAATGATACCTCCATTGAGACAAATATTTTATTTAAAGTTTAAAACTAATCAATACATTAAAAGATTGAATCACATATCTTGTAAGCAAAAATCGATAGTGGCTAGTAGTGGAAACCAGAACGCGCGTTTCGTCTTATTTAGGACTCGGCAGCTGGATGTACCCACATTTCAGAGTTGATGTTCACTCTGGGACTCAAACCCAGTACTATTCGCTTCAAACGTCATTACATTATCCACTCAGCTACTGAGTCCTGATAGCTACTTACTTGTACAATGGTTTGAAGTTTAAATTCACTTGGTATTGTTTGTTTGAATCTTCCAATTGATGTCTAGGACTGAAACTGGTCATTCTCTAATCTTGTTTTGTTACTTTATCAGATTTCTTATTACAAATAAATCATTTCATGTAATCCACACAATCTATCTCACTTTATCTTTGAGATTGATACAATTCTAACTATAATAATGAATAGTCATCCAAAAATGTTGGTTCAGAAAACAATCAAATTATTTTGATTTTTTCAATATAAGTTTGTAAACGCATACACGATACTACTTATGTTTTTTATAATAATTTAACATTACGTCGTCAGGAAAGTTTTTAATTCATGTAACATGAAATCCATATAACATATACACATACATTGTACTATAAACAGGAAGTGATCATTTTGTTCATATTTTATTTAATATACAAATTCATACATTAAAACAAAGAAATCATAAACATGGGGATATATTCCATACTGTACATAATTCAGAAAACATAGTGTATTGCACTAATATATATCGCATAGTGTAGTGTGGTCTACTTATATCCATATAAGTAGTATACGTTGATGTAGACGTAGAATGTATTTTGGCAGAAGACCGATAAGGAAAGAACTGAAATGAAGCTCAATTGGTAGGAAAATGCATAAACAATGTAATTAGAGAAGGTGGACTGATATTTACAGGAGGAACAGTGAAGATTGAGACAATTGATCGTTAATTTGCAAATTAACTGTTTACTGTATGGTTATCAGATCTTAGTAAGACAGTTTGTAATTTGTGCCTAGATACATTCAGATGTCCCTACTTGGGTTATTGTTCACTACAGATATATTTAAAATTATTACCTAAACTTCCGATAGTGTAATAAGAAGATAAAGATAATCAGAACTATATGATATATTAGCGCAATACATTAAGAACAATCTAGTCATACATATTTGAAAGCATGAGTCAATTGAAGCTAGACCACCATCGAAAACCTGGAAGCATTGGATGGCCGTTTCGTCCTATTATGGGACTCCTCAGCAGTGCGCATCCACGATCCCGCACTCGCGAGATTCGAACCCAGGACCTTTCAGTCTCGCGCGGGAGCACTTAACCGATAGACTTTCAGCCTTTCCTTGATTGTCTAGCTTCAATCGACTAATGTATTCAATCATGAAAATACTGAAATCTCCACAAACCCACTCCTGATAATAATCACACATACACTTATTAAGACATTTTTATATGGAAACAAAAAGGTCAACTAGACTAGAAATGGAAGGTAAGAGGAGACAAGGATAATAAAGAAATAATGTGAAAACAATTTAAAACCTCATCACTCTGGATAATAACCTAATACTGCAAGGGTAGGCTTAAGATGAGAACAAACTGTTTTGATCAGATTGTTCGAAATGCATTGCTCTAATATGTTACATAGTTCTAACAATCTTCGTCTTTTTATTACCCTATCAAAATTTATCAAAGGGATTAATTGCTTTAAATTTCTTAAAAAAAAGACTCCTAGAACGTAAACTCCCGTTTAATTTCTTCTTAATAAATTGGATTTAGCGATTGACACCAATGCTTTTATTGCAAGTAATTTCTTATGTTTATGATTACTAATCATAATCTGGGTCATAGCTATAATAAAATGATTCTTACTAAATAACAATACTAGTGATAATAATGATAGTAATGATACTTTTGGAATATAGTACTATAGTGAACGATAACATCACTGGGGACAATTGAATGTATTTTAATACAACATTACAGAATATCTTGATGAAATCTGAGAACCATACAATAATACGTCATTTGTAAAATATCCTTCAATTGTCTCAGACTTTGTTATTCCTCCATTTTCATACCAATCACCCTTAGTTCTTGTTCTTCTCTCTCCGATTTTTTCAAACTTCTGTCGCCAGTCATTTCGTTTACGACTGGTGATACATGCTACATATATCTGTCGACATCAGTAGAGCACACCACAGTACCTATGTCAGCTTAGATATTATTTTATAGAATAATTATGAAATATATCAAACCGTTGAGTAAAATCTGTCATAAGTTTTATAGAAAGTACAATCTTATTTCATACATATAAATAACTTTATTTTATACAAGCCTTAATAAAAAGACAAGTTGATATAGTCAGTTTTAATATCTTAGTAAATAAATACTTCTAGTAAAGATGGACAGTACTGCGGAATCCAGGACGCACGTTTCCCCCTATTTGGGACGAGTCAGCTGGATGCATCCACATCTCAGAGTTGATGTTCACTCTGGGACTCGAACCCAGTACCTTTCTCTTCAAACGCAATAGCGTTGTCTACTCAACTACTGAGCCCTGATAGACAATTGGTTGTACAATGTGGTGAAGTTTAAATTCACTTGGTATTGTTTGTTTGAATCTTCCCATTGATGTTTAGGACTATAATTGATCAGTCTCTAATTGGCATATGTGCATACTGTGCGTATTGCCTCGAAATAGCCTTAGTTCAAAAGCATTATAAGCAAAGATGGATAGTGGCTAGCAGTGGAATCCAGGATACGCATTTCGTCCTTTTCGAGTCCAAGAGTGAACATCAATTTTGAGATGCAGGTGCATCCAGATGACGAGTCTCAATCAGTTGCAGCCTTAAAACTCAATGAGAAGATTCAAACAAACAATATCAAGTGAATTCAAATACTTTTAGTATTTAAAAATGTTGGAATTATCCCTTCATTATTACTCACAAGTGAATTTTGATTAATCATAGTTGATGAGTGACAGTTAAAATACATCTATCTGACAAGCCTCTGTATAAGACGAAACATGTATTCTAAATTCCATCTCTAACCATAATACGCTTATTTTAAAATGAATATTTTTGCTTAAACTTTGTCTATTATCTAATATTAGTCTGGATGATGTGTCTTATAAGCCTCTATTAACAAAATTATTCATTAAGCTCGCATAAACACTCTCTGAAAACACTTATTCAAATACAGAAATCATAGAAGAAGTGTACTTTACTTATAGTCTACTTGTTAAACCGATTGCGTGTGTGCGTACTGATTCTCGCCAATTAGAGAGGAGTGGATTATCGATAAGATCAATGATACACAAAACCAGTATGACCAGTCTTGGGTACTTATCAATCCTGCTTTCTGCCTAGCCCACACAGTTAAGTTCAGAACACCAATAACAGCCTCTGCAATCTGAATCATTATTCTCAAACATACTGAGTTCATAAACCAAACAAACTGACCACATCGTACCATAATATAGAAAATGACATATGTACAAAATTCAGCTAAATGTGGCTGTGAATATGGGGAACAGTAATCAATAGACTGGGGATAACTCATGAATG